CGGATTGCGAACTAAATATATCAAACGTTATTATTATGTTCATACCAGTATGTTTAAATTTTTAGAATTACTACAGTCAAATAATAAAGGCGTTCTGATCAATTTTAGTAAATACATAAGCTCAGCCAATAAAATTAGAAATGATTTAATGCAAAGAATTTAATAAATGTTTGAAATGAAAACGTTTACTAGACTATAAGATAGACAGTATTATTTGAAATCGTATATGCATCAAGATTCTTACCTTTTTTCCTTAAGTGAGTATTAGCTTGACATGTTTACATCGAAGTTATGCTTTTCAATATGTTATATTTATGTTATATTTAAATATATGTAATTACCATATACGTATACGATTGTCATAACGCGCTGGTTCCTTAAACACCAACTTTGAAGTTATTTCAATTATGATAATTTGTTCATTCTCTGTGAAACACTGAAAACATGTTTGCTTATCACGTGCTTATCGTTATCATTGTGTGTATTTGATTTGATGTTGTATTAACAAGATACATGTATTGTATACGTTAATAAAAATTCTGTTCTGTTCATGAAGTGGTTATCTATAAAAGTTTTCTGTAACTAGATAAATACAAAAATGTAACAGATAATTATCTGATTGTCTATATAATATCTATTCATGAAGTAGAAATTGTGAATTCGTGCAGTTGTAACCGTGAAGTTAAAATCGCGAATCTGTGAAGTTGAAATTTTGATTTCATGGAGTTAAAATTGTGAATTTGTGAAGTGTGAAGTCAAAATCGTGAATTTGTGTAGTTGGAATCGTGAAACTGAAATCGTTAATTCGTGATGTCGGTATGTTGCAAAACGTAAAATTACGAAGTTAAATTTGTGAAATCACGACTTCAAGATGAAATTCGGCATTCACGAAGTTGAAATGTCCCAACCAGTCTTTCGTACAGGTCTAAGCATACAACTTTATGGGTTTATGTGGAACTTGGCCTTGGGATCACAGGAGCAAGCTGGAAATTGCGAGATTTTAGTAGATATAACAACTTTTATTCGACTTATGTCCACAGAAAACCAGAGAATTCCCAAATGGGCTCATAGGGGTCAGCGAAAATATGAGCTGAAATGACAATTTTCCGACGGATACACCTATACCAGCAGACCACGCACAAAGCCAAACTATGGGATTCAGCGAAAAAAGAGCATGGGTCAGAATGCATGTATACGATTTAACTCTGACACATTTTCAACAGAAAGGTTCCAAAACTATGATACAATAAAAAGTAGTAACTTTATATTTTGTTTACATTTGTAAATATTCTGTTTATTGGATTATGTACAAGCATGCTACATGTTGAAATTATGAAAACTTCTCAACTAATTAATTAACTTCCGAACTGCTTATTTGTATTACTAAAACGCCTTTCACTATTGACTTTAAACTGTTGGGTATAACTTGTATATCAATAAAGTATGTTATGTTAAGAATATATTTTATTGTCTTGTGTAGTAAATATGTCTCAAACATCTTCCTCTCTGAAATAAAAATGCTTACAGCTTGGCATGAATCATCACCTTGTGGTCCTCTACAAAAGTTATATAAATAATACTTATTGGGATCAAAAGTAACCCCACCGTGTGGGTAACTTTAGTAAGACTTATATAGGAAAACAATTTGATAAAGTGTGCTCCTTCGGAAGCATCATTCACAACAAAAATACATGAAAATTGCATACTCGGCAAATACATTTAAGTATTCTTTTTTGAAAGTACAATGCCAAGAGCTTAAATATTTGTCATGTAGCAGTGCCTCTACAAAGGTTACACAAGTCATCCCACCACCCCCAGAGTCAAATTTGGCCCACACTGGGAGTCACTTATTGAAGTTATTTTTCACAAATGTGTTTAAAAAAAGATTATTCTCTTAAATTATAATGCCCGGAGTTTAGATATTTTGCTTAAAACATCATCTTGTCGTCTTCTACATGTTATATAAATTATGCCGGAAGGTCAGAATTGACCCCGTCCGGGGTCATTTAGTTTATATAGACTTGTATAGGAAAATACATGCAAGTCGTCTTTTGTGAAACTACAATGCCAAGAGATATTTGGCGTGAAGCATTTCATAATGGTCATCTGCGAAGGTAATGTAAGTAATATCTCCGGGGTGAAAGCACGACCTGCCTCGGGTGTCACTTATTCAACAATTAAGTAAATGACACACGCAATGTGACCTCATTACTGGCTTTAAACTTTTCACGAGAATGTTCCAGACTAATGTTGGTGCTGGTTTTAATAATCAGAGACCGATTTACTGTTTTGATAATTGGTTTGATTTCAATAAATCATGTCAACTGTCCAGCGCAGTGTTAGTTTAGTGTGCTCTGGTCCCTGTCAGAACTTAGCCACGGGGGAGGAACTGTTACACAAAGGATGAGTTCTGATGATAACTGTGTTGGTGTTTATTAACATTTTAGAAGACTACGGCTTTTGAACAGTTCTGTAAGTAGTATAAAACTTATCCTTTCTACAGCTAACGTAATTTTTTTCTATTGAGAGGTTAGTTAGCTAGTTACCGTACTGCCCAACTAGTACATTCCATTTATACAGTTTTAGATTAAAATAGCAGAGGTTTTGTTCATCTATGACAAAATGCTACATTTATTTTGCGAATATTCATATAATTATCATAATTAAAACACCTTGTAATCTTATAACATTTTAGTTTTAGGTGCAAAATTAAACTTGGATCTTACATCTTGTTTTATGTGTCAAAAACTAATTCATAGGCCATTTTTATAGCCTCTTGCTTAAAATCTGGTAGTTTTGAGTAAAATTTCCAAATTATTTGCCAGTTCGCAAGTATTCACCTGTTTATTTCTGGTCTTCATCCTTGCCATACATAATTAGTTATTATTAATTACCTAATTATAATGCAAAATTGCAAACATAAAACCCCGGCTAACAAATTTATACAGTCCTTGAGTTCTTGTGATATCTCTAAAGATGTCATAGACTTCTTATGATAACTTTTGTTAGCGTCAGTGTGCTAAATCACGGCACGTTTTTGCGTTGTGTATATCCAGTGACGTCGGAATGTGAAATTAAATAAATGGTGGCTATTCATTTTTTTTCAAGTTTGGTTAAATAAAAAATATATTGGCCAGTTTTCTTACCGCGTTGGAGATCGTACCAGGTATTCGCCATTTACTGCACAATTCTGCGTTATACTTTTTGCACGAATCGTGCGTTAATTTCACATTCCACCGTTACTGGATATACACGGTGATTATTCAATAAGTGAAATGTAGTACGCTCATCCTTTGCACAAAAATGTTGGTCTCGAGTATCTGCAAATATAAACAGGTGATAGGCTTTCATCTACAGTAAAATTGAATCAGCAGTCACCGATATTCAACAGTATCATGGCTTAAACCGCAAACAAAAAATGTCTCAAGACTTGCACGTTGTTCTCAGTTACACATGTTTCAAGCAACCACCTTTCTTAAGCAGACATTATATAGTTGTGCTTCCCTTATGCAAGGGCTAAGGAATTTGTATCATTTTTTACCATAATAAACAAATATATAACCACGATAATCTCCACACATTTGTCTCCAAAAAGTACGATACATGATAAACATTCATCCGCGGTTGGCTCTTTCTACCGATCTCTCAAACATATTTGCACACCGCGAACTAAGTTTGACTATATAAATTTGTTATCAGTTACAAAAGTAGCAGAATTACCTCCACTAAGATTACATTGTGAAATGCCCATCTAACACCGAAAGAAAAGTTTTACGTTTTTAATGTTAAAACAATGACAACGTAGCAGCCGAGTCTAATACGAATTTGAATAAGGCGTATGATTTACTGCAGAATGACACAATTTATATTGCAAGTCATCAGACATAAAACATTTACGTACATCAGCTTTTCACCTCAGGACCTATTTTAAGTATCTTGCTTTGTTGCAAAACTAGCCTAAGGTACAATGTCTTCTATACGGTGTTTATGCTCAAATTTGATGTTTTATTGTTGATCATTTGCTTATTATAAGTTTACATATCGTAAAGGCGAATGGTGTCCAAGTGGTTAAGGTGCCTGTCTCTCAACACAAGGATCATGGGTTTGAGCCCTACTCGGTGACACGACTATATTTCTTTACATGACACCAATACTGGTTGGTTCCAGAAATCGGACTCGAAAGTGATAAATATTTGTTGAAAGAACTTGTTTCGCAAGCGTGCTTAACTCATCATGTTTAAAGGGACTCCACTGAGGTTTAAAAGCATAAAAACATAACATTTGAATTTCTTATATAAATGAGCTATTTAAACAGAAATATATGCAAAGATAGTTAAAAAATATACTTGAAAATAAATTGAAAATCGTATTTTTATGCTTTTCTTAGACTGATTTGAGTTAAAAGCGTTTAAACGCTTTTCATTTTGGGTCATTTTATTGCAATTTGAATAATTATTCTGGAAAAACGAATTAAAGTGCGCTAATGATCTGAAATTTTCACAAAGATTAGTGGTCTAAACCTACATCAAATGGTACATTTATCTGGAAAAAATATTTTCAGTCCCATTATATCAAAAACCCTCAGTGGAGTCCCTTTAAACTAACGTTTAATCCGAATATAACTAATTAATAATTGCCAATGGCAATAGGATAAACTTTAATGAGTACAAGCGTGTCAGCACTGTCTTTATACAAATTAGACACATATGTTGTAGGATTCCTGGCAAAATACGACATCGAATTAAGCATACCCGTCAGGACTTCGAAACAATGAGAGTTTTAAATCAATTACAGAGTTATAATTCATCCTACAGCTGGGTTACTGATACACATGTATCAATCAGTGTATCAGTAACCCAGATACGTGTATCAGTAACCCAGATACGTGTATCAGTAACCCAGATACGTGTATCAGTAACCCAGATACGTGTTTCAGTAAACCAGATCCTAGCATAATTATACGCTACCATCAATTAACTCCATTAAATACTTTATTTTTTCTTCAATTTGTTTATTCTGTTAAGTTATCAGAAAATTCTAAAAATGGGATTCAGCATGCAGTATGGCCGCAATTTTTCTGCCATCACTTTTACGCAATTACTTGATAACATAAAGCGTTTGTCCTAATTCACTCTGGTAATTATCAGAGTCAAGTAAAGAACATTGAGAATTGTCCATTGCAACTGCCAAACAGTCTTGAGTGATGAAACAAATGTAACAACAATGTTCTATAGACCTGGCAAACTTCGTATCAAGAGTATTTCCCGTCCCTGTCACGTCAGAAATCCGTTCGAAGCTTCCTGTAATAGACAAAAACATTCTTTTTACCGACATACTTGGTTTATACAGAATTTATTTTAGTTGGATTGCGTAGAAAGCTATAAGCTAATAAACACAATTTCGAATCCGTTCCTGGGTAAAGTGTGTAATATTTCTTGCTCAAGAAAACAACGACTTGTCCATGACAAGGTTTTATTCCATACGGCCAGAATACTAACATACATATGTTTAAGTGAAAAGGAAACATAAAAAAGGCAGAGGATTTAGTATTGAGTGGACCAAGCCGAAATAAATGATGATAAAACATTAGTCTTGATTAGGCAGCAAAGAAACATATTTGCCCCATAAATTGTGAAACTGTAAAAGCCTATTTTTTTTTTGCATTATATAATTGTGTTCTCAAAAGAAAAGCGACATGGCTTTTAAAAAGTTGAACGCTAGAAACTTGTACTGAGACCATTGTAAATTGAAAAATCGCTCGCATATAATTGATGAATTTTCTGTGAAACATACTACCCTCTTCTTCAATGCCCAACACAAAGTTGTTTAATTTAAATTGTCAGTTAAAGAAATTTTCTTCACATGTATCTCTTCAATACATATCCTCATATTTCCTGTTCAATGCATTTTTATAAATAAAATTATATGTATACTTTTATCTTCTTTTTTTTTAATTTGGGAATTAAATGTTCAATTTTAGGCATCTATGTCAGTACCATATACCATCTCTATTTATCGACCATCGAAAATTTCTTAAAAATTAAAAAAAAAAACAACATTAACTTCGAATGTTCGGTTAACTTCCTGCTGAGACACAATTTTATGATATGAATACAATACAAAAAATAATTACCAGTGCTTGACTTAGAGCCATTCACTGCTACTTCACAGAGGACCAAAGGTTTTTTGATATCGGGGTTCCTTGTAATTCGGACCCATCTAGCATAAACTGGAGGTGATATTTCGAACGAATGTGATATGTAGATGTATCCTGTTCTATAACCTACCACTCTATATGTGTCTCTTGTCAAACCAATGTGTACTTCGGCTCCAACAAGATTTTCATCTGTAACAATAGACAACCATTTTACTTAAACGTGTGTCATGGTCCATTTATTTGGTTATGCAATGGTTAAGTGCGTCCACCTTTCAATATGACGTTTCCGGAAGGAAAATTTACGTTTGAATATTGTTTTAAATAATAATAAAATTGACAAAATGGGGCTTTCTGGTTCTTAGAAGTCAAAAATAAAGCATCGCCTCAGGTCAACTGCAAAGCTATGTGTTATTTTATGTAAAACAAATTAATTAGTGAATATGTTCATTATCCGATGTCATGAATAGCAATTTGTAAGCCAGTTAGCCGATTCATAAAACGGTAAGCATTGGAACGACAAAGTATCTGTCAAATGAAATAGAAACAAGATCCATGTTAACATGGCCATCCCCCGCCGAATGTGTTTGCTCATTGGAAGAACGTATATATTAGAGCAGATATTTTTTTAGAAAACTGTACGTTATACGTATGTGGGAGTCGAGGGCATTCCCCTCCATACCTTACAAAGATTCTATTTATCACATATACACATGTATCACATATTTGTTGATTAACACTTATTGGCATTGATGAATATTTATCTCATTTTGTTTCTTAGACAATAATATATGAACATGTACATACAATAAACAAACAAAATAACAAGGGAAATAAAAGAAGGGAAAAAGGGAAAAGTAGTTCATACACTGAATAGAGAAAACATAAGTATTACTTATACCCAAACTTTTAATAAAAGGCAATGGCTGTGTATTAATTAATTATAAATTTACTTTACTTTAAAAAATTAATAAATGATTTTTTGAACAATTGTCCAACTCATTATGTTATCTTTTGTTTTTGTTGCACATGCATCAATAATTGAAGAGGCTAATTTAATACTTCTAACTAATCCATATATATTTGGTAAAATATTTTTCTCCTGCATAAATAAACATATTTTTTATCTCTAGACATAAGATATCGTATTTTGACTGGCTCTTTTTTGTATTACCTAATATCAAATAAAGCTTCATGTTTACTTACAATTTTAATAACTTCTGTAATCAATATTTTAACAAATGAGCATTCCCAAAATAGGTGTAACAATGTTTCATGTTCTGATTTACAAAAACTCACACATGAGTGTAGGACAAAAGCCCTCCCAGACAAAAGCCCTCCCGTCAAAAAGTGACAAGGCGGACAAAAGCCCTCCCTTGAAAATGACAAGGTGGACAAAAGCCCTCCTATGGAACGCCATAGCTGCCTCATGTGTTTACATTTCTTTTTATCTTGCCCAGAAAGCGTCTTATTATGTCAAATATAAGCGTTGTAATGCCATTGTAATTTGTCGACTTGTCTAAACATTGCCTTATTATGTGTAACAGTAGTCTTATCTCTTTAAAATGTGATGTTGACTTGTGTTAACATTGTTTGATTTTTTCAAACAATAGTGTTATCATGTCATTATGTCGTTTTGGCGTGTCTGAAATGTGTCATATTATGTCAACTTGTCGCTCTATTTGGTCAAATTGTGGAGCTGTTTTATCAAAAGACTGTCTGATCGTTTGAAACAGTAGTGTTTTCTTGTCGTTATTTGGTGTTGACTTGTGAAAGCACAGCTTTATTTTATCAAACTGCCATGTTATTTTGTCAAAATACGGTGTTTAAATGCCTTAACATTGTCTTATTGTGTCAAACAACTGTGTTAATTTGCCAACGTACACTACTGAGTTGTATTTTTATATCAAATATTCGAATTATCTTGCCGAAATGGAGTGTTGACTGGGCTAAAGCATGCCTTTTTGTGATAAACTGTATGCTTTTTTATCAAAAAGCGGTTTTGACTGGTTAAAACTCAGTGTTATAAAGTCAAAAAATTGCGGTATCTTGTCGAAATGTTGTAAAGACGTGTCTAAACTCTTTCTTATAATGTAAAACAGAAGTGTTATATTATCGAAATTTGATGTTTTCTTGTAAAACACAGAAATAGTCTTATTGTGTCTGATAATTGTGTAAATTTGTTCAAATTTAGTTCTGTCTTGAGAAAGCGCTGTCTGATTTTGCGAAACTGCCCCGTTATCTTTTTGCTCTATCTTTTCACGCTCCGCGCGGGCTCTGGTCACGTGATACTAAATTTTGACAACATCGCATCTGGACAGGATAACACGATTATCTGACATAATGAGACGGTATTTAGACATGTTAACGTCATACACTGGCAAGTTAACGCCACTGTACTACATAATGACACTGTGTTTCAACAAGTAAACACCACATTTGAAAAGGAAAAATGATACTTCGCCATAAAAGGACGATGTTTATTAAAATTAACACCAAACCTTGATAAAATACAAGAGCTGTCGGTAGGACAGCACGCTCGACTATTCTAAGTGCTTGATAGTAAAAGAGCCTTGATAACGTAAAATTTAGAGCTTTGATAATGTTAAATTTTCTAAGTTCACAAAAGGGCTAATTTTTTTTTATAAATTCATGTTATAGGCCTTAGAGACAGTCTAATTATACAGTATTGGCTTGACTATTCGGAAGGTAATTTCACAAGGGTGTTTTATTGAGTATAATAATACTAATTACCTATGAATACATAAAATTGACAGAAAAGGTACAAAGGCTTGTTATTAAGATGTTTTATTAAGTAAATCACTGCTTTATTATTATGAATGCATATAATTGTCCCAAAAAATGCACAAACCCTTCAGTAATTATAGAGATAACAGCTTACAAGCAAAACTTTACCATGAATTTCTAAGTTGAAAAAGGGGAGAAAAATCAGCCTAAATGCAAGATAGAATTATGGATCTATTATGGATATCAGTGACCTACAATTATGACCCTAAATGCATATGTGAAGTTTTAAATAAATATCTTTAATAGTTATTGAGATATGTAAAACTTGCATGTAAACATTAACCAAGAGACTAAGTAGAAAAGGGGATATGAATCAGCCTTAATGCAGGATAGAGTTATGGAACTTGGTCAGTGACATACAATTATGACCCTCAAATTTATGACCCTAAGTACATGTGTAAAGTTTCAAGTAAATATCTTTGAAGACCTTTAACCTTTAACCAAAATTTTCTAAGTTTCAAATTTAAGGGGCAAATAGTTCTGCAAATATTGCAGGCAGAGTTATGCAATTTTGCAAACTGATGTACATTGTTACTATAAAAAAGTATTTTTTAAATTTCAATTGAATATCTCAAGCAATAATTGAGATATTTGACTTTACAAAAAAAACTTTAACCAAAATTTCCAAGTTAAAAAGGGGCATAATTTCTGTCAATATTGTAAGCAGAGTTATCCAACTTGTCAATCTGATGTACCTTGTTACTATAAATAAGTATTGTAAGTTTCAATTGAATATCTCAAAGAAATAATTGAAGATATTTGACTTTACAAAAAACTTTAACCAAAATTTCTAAGTTAAAAAGGGGCATAATTCTGTCAATATTGTAGGCAGAGTTATCCAACTTGTCAATCTGATGTACCTTGTTACTATAAATAAGTATTGTAAGTTTCAATTGAATATCTCAAGCAATAATTGAGATATTTGACTTTACAAAAAACTTTAACCAACGCAGACGCCGACGCGGACGCTGACGCCGACGCGGACGCTGACGCCGACGCGGACGCCGACGCCGGGGCGACTACAATAGCTCTCATATTCTTCGAATAGTCGAGCTAAAAATGACACTTTGACAAAAAGACAGTAATTTTAGACAAGTCATCACCACGTTTCGACAAGATGACGTGACTATTTGACATAATAAGACAAATATAGACCAGTTGAATCTGCATTTGGACAAAATAGCATGAAATTTTGACAAATTAAAATAGTCTTTTAACAGTTCATAATCATAATTTGTAAAGATACCACCATTATTTCACATAATAAGACGCGGTTTAGGCCGGTTAACATAAAGTTTGGATAAAATGGCATGACGATCTGAGAAAATAAGGCAGTGTTTAGACATGTCAATACCATCTTTCGACAAGTCAACAATACACAAACAAACAAAATTTATTGGCAAGTCAACATTAGTATTTCACATAATAAGTATATTTTTAGACAGGATAACAACAGTTTTAGACAAGAAAGCAAGATGTTTTGGCATAATAAGACAGAATAACACCACTTCATACTAAGCAACATAACAGTTTGACAAAATAGGACAGCACTCAGCCAGGTCAATGTAATGGTTGAAAAAGATATCACTACTAGCCAACATAATAAGACATGAGTTTGACAAGTTGACACCAATTTGAACACAATGACATGGCAGTCTGACAAAATGTGACGGTGTTTAGACAAGTCAATACCACATTTGGACAAGACAAAACGACAGTACAACATAATACAACAGTGTCATAACATACCAGGATCACATTTGGACAAGATAACACCAACTTCCGACAAGATAACACTACTGTTTCACATGATAAGACAATTTCAAGACAATTCAACACCACATTTTAACAAGTCTGTGTTCAGACATATTGAAATCTTAATTCGAAAAGATGGCGTGCATGTTAGACATATTAAGACTTCCTTTCGGCATGTTAACACCGGATTTGCACATGATAACATGACGTTTTGAAATAATAAGACAGTGTTTAGACAAATCAGCACTACGTTTTGACAAGAGAAAATAAATATTTGACCTAATAAGGCTTCGTTAAGACAGGTTCTCATAAAACGTTGGCAAGCCAACACTTCTATTATACATAATAAGTTGCTTTTAGGGGAAAATAAAACGAAATGTAACAACATGAGGCAGCTATGGCGTTCCATACCCTCCCGTGAAAATAATAGGGCGGACAAAAGCCCTCCCGTAAATATGACTTGGCGGACAAAAGCCCTCTCGTGAAAATAATAGGGCGGACAAAAGCCCTCCCATACATATAGTATGTTGAATAGTTTATATTTTCTTTTCAATGCACTCAACATATTGAAATTGAATTCATGAATATATTTTTGTTTTCCATTGGCATAAGCGTGTTTGTAGGAGCTT